TAGATAGATAGATAGATAGATAGATAGATAGATAGATAGATAGATAGATAGATAGATGAGTGTGTGTATCTTATGTTCCTTTCTTTTTCTATTATTATTTTAAAATAATAATAAATGGATGCAATAGCTAATCAAGTTTCCCAATTGTGGAAAGAATCTCAGAATGTAAAGTCAGTGAGTATGTATGCAAATGCAGTGCATATGCTTATACTAGAACAATAACAATTACAAAGAGCATATAAAACTCACTCGGGAAAAATGCCATTTTACTTCTACAAACCAGTAAAATGATGTGCTGCCACTGTGAAAGAGTGTTATGCAGCACGTTTAAGCAGCAGGTTTGCATGGAGAATTCAATAGATTATATTAAATACAAGGCCAATCTTTACAGAATAAAATAGAACAGAATAGAATATCAGAGTTGGAAGGGATCTTGAAGGTCTTCAAGTCCAACCCCTTGCTTAGGCAGGAAACCCTATACTATTTCAGACAAATAGTTATCCAATCTCTTCTTAAAAACTTCTAGTGTTGGAGCATTTACAACTTCTGGAGGCAAGTTTTTCCACTGATTAATTGTTCTAACTGTCAACTGACATCTTAATAGACTTGCCCCAGATTTTAGATGATTATTTCTCAAAAGAAAATCACCAAAGTTGGGTGATGAGGGGGGTGGGATAAGAGCGGTTTAAAAAATTCAGGATGACTCATTCTCTTTCCTCCTGAGCTCAAGACACTCCTGTCATACTAATTGGCCCTGAGTTATTCAGTTAATTTCTATAGCTGAAAGTAGATTTGGAACTGGGTATCCCTAGAACAAGTATAAGATAATTGTAAGCCATACTGTGCCTATAACTGGTTGTGTGACTGATTTAAATTTTATTTTCTACCTTTTGATATGTAATATTTATATAGTTTTAAATCAGTATTTTGGAATGCTGAATTCTATAGAATAACAAGGAGATACAGAAACAAAGAAGACTTATATGTTGCATTAAAAAGAGAATATTACTCACTTTATTGAACAGAGATGAGAAGACATCTTGGTGACTGTTCATGTCAATGCCATCACATATTCTCAGTAACTCTTCATCATCTTCAGTCTTAGCCTCCTCAAATGTCTCACACTGGATAAGCAGGTCCTCATCTTCTATGTCTCTACACAAAGCCCACAACAATAAATATCAGCAATTCATTAATCAAAATAACTTTTTTAAATTTTAAAATCACATCAGTTAATAACCCTACAGCAGAAACTAATATTACCAACTTGCATCTTGTATCTATCTGATTGATAAAAAAAAAATCTCTAAGTTGATGAAATCTCAGGTGAAAGAAATATAAAATGTAAAAAATACACCCTAAAAC